CAGGATAATCCTTTTGCTGGTCACCAGCCTGAAACATCAGGGAGCATTAGGATTCGTGTCACATCTGCTGGAGAGGACCATATGTTCCAGCTTATGCTGGACTAGTGCTCTGTGCTGCAAGTCTCTGCATTTATGACAAATGCCAAGCAAACACGGCCAGCTCTAGAGTCTGTCTACAAACACAAGTATCTGTCATCTTCCTTTGCAAGGCTCCACTTCCCCAAAAGGCAGAACTGATTTCTCATGCATTATCCCTCTAAACATATGCCCCATGTCTTACACGATTCCCACATTTTGTGTAAACAATAGCACTTGTGTCACTTAAAATTGAGATACAATTATTTCTAATTAGTGAGTAGTGCAGTGATATTTGGGTGGGAGGAATTGTAAAGCACTCAGTTGTTAATTTTTTTAAAAAATTACCACATTTCAACCACCTTCAAAGTCTTCTTTCAACCACCTTGAAGTCTTCAAGTAAACAGCATTTTTCCTGCCAAAGTCAGAACAATGAGGGCTGACAAGATGAGATGTGGAAGACAACTCCTCGTCCATCACTAGCAGTTAGCTTTCCAGGTCAGGGCTGGAATCAAGCCATTAAGCTACACTTGCAGTATAATCTCACCAGTGCTTTTAAGTCCTGCTGTTGTTCTTTTGCTGGCTAAAAAAAAAAAGAATAAAAAAATCACAGCACTTAAAAGCAGCAAAGTCTGCACATTTTCACCAGATACTAGGAGTGCTGTATGGTTAGTACAGTATACAGGGGGGTACACCTGGGAGGCTCAGCTCCTCTCAAAATGTAATTCCATTGCATTTCTGCCACAGAATTGGTATATGACCACAGGCAAGTCACTGAAGCCTCCAACAAGTTTAGCATGGAGCATTCAACTACCCCCATTGCTCTTGGGCTTCATTAAGCATAAACTTACATCTCTAGTAGATTTGCATGCTGTGGCCTTCTCTTAAGCCATCCATAAAGCAAAGTCCCTTTCTCATGGGAAAGGCTAGTAGAGGAGATATCTGGGTTAAACATGATACGATCACTCCTGCCAGGAGAGCAGGACTCTGCTGTGCCTGCCTTGGGATCCACAGCCATTAGCATGGGGAAAGACTTAGGACAGCACATCCAGAAAGTAGAGGCTGTGCCGTGTTTTGTCATTTGGGCATTAGTCCTAGGAAAGCAAGTTGTGCATGTTCTCCTTCCTCAGAAGCTGGTGCCACCTCTGGAGCATGTCTCTGCCCCGCAGGAGGGAGGAAACAATCTATCATCAGGAAGATGAGAGACAGCTTTAAATTCTACATAGTCTACTGTTAAAAGAGGAAGCTTACTTTAATCCAGAGATACTAACAGAGATCAACAGGACTGAGTCATCTGTCTTGACACTGTATGTCTGTCTGCCCCATAAGCAAATGCTTTTCACTCCACTAAATGTTTGATCCATTTGCATACACAGTTAGCAGCCTCTGACTACACAGCTGCCCTCGAATCACAAGCCTGGGAGAAATTCTTGACAGCTTGCTAAACCACAGCTGGCAGAGCTTGCCTTCAAAATGCACTGCAAAACAATGCAAATCTCCCTCACCTGCTGCTGCTTCTGCTCTGACCTTTGCTGTGAAAGCCATGACTGCAGTGAAAACGCTGCAGCCACACAGAGGAGGAGAGATGTGCACCCCAAACCTGGCTGATCCTGCTTCCTACCACCTTCGTCAACATCTCCCAGGCTGCCCTTCAGCACAGACCTCAGGGGAGGGCACATACAGTGGGACAGTAAAACATGAATGATCTAATGGTTGCCTAAAACTACTCAAAGAGTATTTACCCAGATAGTGGAGCCAAACTCTTCTCCATGGTGCCACATGACATAACAAGCAGGAGCAGCAACAGTCTTGGAAGGTTCAGGATGGTTATCAGAAAAAACAGGTAATGCAAGACCAGAACAGGCTGCCCATAGAGGCTGTGAAATCTCTGTCCTTGGAGGTTTTCATCACCTAGCTAGACAAAATCATGTGTGACCTGCTTTAGTGCTGGCCACAGTCCTGTTTCCAGCAGGAGGTTGGGTAAGACAAGCTACAGAGAGCTCCTTTCCAAGTAACACTGTGTGGTTCCTGGGCCTCCATCAGAACATCACTTACTTCAGCTAAGAACAGGCACAAGTAAAGCAATGCCAGAACAGGCACAAGTAAAGGCAATGCCATGACTAGAGCTTGTGAAACACATTCAGAAACAAAAGAATCCACTTTTTAAACATCAACATAGGTCTTAATGCAATGAAACACTGCTGCTGCCATAAGCTGTATTGCTGGACAGTCACCATCCCCTGCTCATCATCTCCAGCATTTTATGTCGTATCTTCAATTATCTGTCACAAGCCTAACTCTGTATGCTCAAGGGAGCCAAACAGATTTACTCCAGAGAAAGGTTAAGCCCATCTCAGACAATGCCAAATAATCCTCAGTCTCATTTTACATAATTTGTGTCATAAATCATAGAATGGTTTGGGCTGGAAGGGACCTTAAACATCATCTTGTTCCACTACCACTTGTCATGGGCAGGGACACCTTCTATTAGCCCAGGCTGCTCCAAGCCCCATCCAACCTGGCCTTGAACACTTCCTGGGATAGGACAGTCATAGCTTCTCTAGGCAGCCTGTGCCAGTGCCTCAGCACCCTCACAGTGAAGAATTTCTTCCTCATATCTAATCTAAACCTGCCCTCTGTCAGCATAAAGCCATTATGCCTTGTCCTATTGCTATATGCCCTTGACAAAAGTCCATTCAGCTGTGTCAGCATCACCACATTAATCCCAGCCTCCGGGATTTGATTTTTGCCAGGCCCAGCTGCAGCAGCAAGAGGCTGAAACATGTACCGGCACGGCCAGACCTACATCACTGTGGCATCACACATGACTTGCACGGTGCCTACAGACAGTGCAAAGATCCTGTTCGAGTTGTCAGAGCATCAGAAACAGCCCCAGTGCTCAGCACAGGGACTGCACTATCTGGTCATGTCACTCACCTCCAACCACTGTCATTACCTTAATCTCTGACTCAGAGCAGCTTTGGAGAATAGGGGCCAGGTCATCCCCAGCACTGATTGCAGCAGGAAACAGCAGGAGGTGAGATGCTGATCAAAGAGCAGGTAACAGCCCTATAGCCCTGTGCACTTAGATGGATACCTTCTGCTCCCCCTCACCGAGAAATAAGACTCTCCTTCTGCAGGAAAAAATCGGGATTAAGCCCTGGGTTATCACAGGAGCCAGAAGCAGCCCTCATTACTTTGAGGGGAAGGATTTCATCCCACTGCATATTACAAAACCCAAATGACACGTGTATTTTATGGCTTACAAAGGAGCCCCAAAAGTCAAAAGGCACAGTGAAGACCCTGTCATCTTCCCCACTCCCTGTTTGGAAAATGCAGCATTTCACAGCCTTCCCTGTCTGATCCAAGCTCCTTTTCCTCTGTCAACATGACCAGAGTTCATTGAGAATCACTGTGATAACAGACTTGTACAAGCTATATACTTTGGCCTCTGCCTGCTATTAATCCCTTCTGGGATGGCTGGTATTAGTCAACTTAGATCTGCCTCAGAGTAACATAAAATAACTACAGCCTTGCAGCAGCTGTACAATAGTTCTGTACAGCACTGGAGCATCTCTAGTTAACCATTCCTTTGTGCTGGTTCCTCTCTCCTCCAAACTGCCTAGGAATTTCCCACATGCATATTGAATACTTTAGAGAAATTAAGGCAAGAAATCTGCTAAACCTAACTTTTGCTCAGAGATTTGATCGAGTTAGGGAAGATATTGTGTGAGTCTAATAGGATGTACCTTCAGTAAACTCAAGTTTTCATGTGCATCGCTCACAACTGTCTGGGGTTGAGGCAAGTAAAATGAGAATCCCTTAAGAGTTATCTTCTCATTACAGTCTCTGAGAAATTTGTAATTCAGCTTCCAGTTCCTCAAGCCAAGTTACTCCAGTGGGTGAGCAAACCAGTCACACAGAGAAAGCCAAATGCTACTTTGTTTGAATAATGTAAATAACATCAGTGGCTTGAGCACAACCAGGTAACACTTGTAACAGTTGGACAGAAATTACTTTTAAAGAATGTACAAAGTGCAGTTATAATAAATCACACAGGAGTTTCTCTGCATTAAGATTTAACCTTCAGTCTAAGCTTCTTCACAAAAAAAAAAAAAGGCTAAATAATCCTCTTTAAGAAGCCTTTCTTGTCAAATTACACACCAATCAGTACCTACAAACACTAACAGAGCTACTAAATAGGAAGACTCAGGTGTACCTGAATTAAATGCTGTCTGAAGCATAAGCTTGAAAGCTCTAACAGAATCTTAAATGCAATTTCACAGGTGCTATGAGTTGGTCTCTCCAACTGCTTTATGTCAGGGATCAAATCCTTACACACATAGAGGTCAAAAAATGCCCCAAACCAAACAAACCCAAGAAAATACCAAATTCCCACAGCAAAAAAAACAACAAAGGAAGAAAAAATTCTACTTAAATCAAGAATTCAGAGAAAACAGCACACCCCAAACCAGCAAGAACTCTTTAAGTAAAACTGGTCTTACAATACCAATCTTTATTCAAGATGGACTGAAAATACTAGTACCCTGAAAACAGAAATCAAAAATATTCCACTTTGTCAGGATTAACCATTTAAAAAATGAGCTCCAGCTTATTTCAAGTACATATATATTTGAAGGCAACAGAGAATGTAATGATCATTTTTATGTGTGTGTATACACCCATTTATATTGTAGATATAAAGCATGTATACAGGTATTTTGCTGCCACCTTGTGAACAGTCTCTGAGTAGAAAGGATTAGTTCACTCAGACCCAATTCTTCCTTATTCACATTTAGCTCAACAGACTTTAATATGCTTTTTAAACAGGTACTCAGTGCTAGATGGCTGAATCCAGTGCTTAGTGCAGAAAACATTAAAAGGCTGAGTAAAATAACTCTTGAGTCTTCCACAATTTCCATGCACTTTTGTGTCACAGTTTACTGCCACAACCAGTGTGGAAAATATCACTAAATTCTTTCTGATAAAAATATTGCAGCTTTGCATCCAAGTTGTATAGCTGTCTTCAAAACAGAGTAGCCTGGTGTCTGGAAAATAAGGAATAAAAGATGAAGTAAATGTAATAAAGTGTTTCGTCTGAACCAGATTGTGATAAGGAATAGTAAGCTTTATAAAAAAACCCACAACAACAAACAAAAAACTCTGATCAAAGTAAAACCACACACACACAAAGACCCTGCCTGTGTTTTTAGTCTAATCTACCCTAGAGAAAATGAAATTAAAATTTATCAACCTTGCAGTGTTTCCATTTCTCCACAAATATAAATCAAGAGAAAAATAGGAGAGAAATCACACATTCCTCATACACTATTCAAGGGAGCACAGAATTTAGTTCTGTATTTCACATTTCCTACCATGGTTGTGTTCACCCACTAAGATAATGCCTCAATTTCCCAGCTGCATAGATAGCACTTACTAGCCTCATCTTTAGAAATATACAATCTAAATTTAAATAAAGTCTAGAATTTTGCAGAGGACACCTCTCAGGAAAATACAATCGCTTTAACACTTGACATGTGTTCCACCAGATTCAACTCCACTCCAGCAAAATGAGAGCTATAATAAGTAGGACTTTCTTATGTGTATCT